CGTCCTGCCCACCTCCCTCGGCCTACACAAGCTCCAGCCCACTTAGGAATCGGCAACCCTGTGCTCTTGCGGGAGAGTGAGCCGTGCTATGCTCTGGGCCAAGAAGGTTGTCCTTGTCTGAAGGACCGACCCTCAGCCTTGGCTTGGCTCCCCTCTTGGAAAGTCTCTGAACCCATAATCAATCATGCAGAGCCCTGATCTACTACAGAAACCGGGGCCAGACCAGAGTACAATTGATCTTGTTTCGCTTTTTTAAATTTTGAGACTATATTTAAATACAAAAAAATTTCACATACTCTTTACCCAGAATTACCTGTATTTATTATTTTTCTTTTAAAAATAAAGCAACAAATAACAGATAAAGTGAAGTACCTTTGACACCCCATGCCACCCCACAAGTCTCTTCGTTGGTTCTTATCTCCTTATTGATCATTCTTCTCTCCTTTTTTTTCTTTCCCCCCTTGCCTGTTTCTTTTTCCCACCTCTCTTGAACTCTAAAATCCAGTGCACTTAATATTTTATGTACCCCCTTCAAAGACTAATCCAAGTTGCTATTTATTTCATTGTAGCTCTGGATTGATTTGGGAGTGCATCAATTGAAGCAAGTTCCACCCCGGATGACTTTTTTCATATTTGATTTTTAAATGGTCTGTGATGACATTTCCAGAGTTTTCAAGATATTTTTAAGTGACTTGAAACATTAGAATAAATGTATAGTGACTTGCAATATTAAAATACATTTATGGAGACTTGCAACATTAAAGTAGTTTCATGACTGAACCATGGTAAGGTGGTTGGTTACTTTTAATACTAGAGTTTCTATATCCTCTCAATGTGTAGCAATATATCCTTTATCTGAGGGTTCCACAAAGTTTTGATAATAAATAATACAAACTTTAAAAAAATAAAATAAATAAAACAAAGTGATGGTCTCTCCAGATTACAACTTTGAGGAAAAAACAATCAACTGGCTATGACAATTCTGGCATGTCAGCTAAAAATGAAAAACATTTTTAAATGATAAAATCCCATTATTTAGACCACACTCGTTTTTTCTTTTTTGGTTACTATTCTTTTCCAACTTGGCTGCAAATAATCTTGTTTTCTTCCAGAAATCAAATCTCTTCTCAGAGGGCAAACACTTGCCATAAAAATGAATGTTCCACTGCAAATGTTGCATTTCTCCCGAGACAGTGGTGCTCTTTTGGAATCACAGCGAGTCAGAGTTGAGAGAAAGTTAAAAATGAATCCAAATCCTTTCTCACACAGGTCAAGAAACAAATGACCGTAGAAAGAAAGTCGCTTGCCTGAAGTTGCACAGGGAACTGATAGGCAGAGGAATGGACTTCAACAGGAAGGGATTGTTCCCTCAATTCCAAGAATTTTAGCATGAAGGTGGGGAGGGGTTACTTGAATCCCCTCCTTGTGGGATGTAGCAGACATGTGTACTGTTTTGCTCCAACCCAGTTGATGGCTAGCAGAAGCAGGTTAGAAAGTGGTCAAGCTGCTGAACGGGAAGGCCAGGTGTGGAAGGATCAGCAGGAGCACCCGATTGTATTCCTCTTCTCTCCTGCAAGACCTTGTGGCTAGTGAGGGGCTCTCCTTCACTACCGCCATCGAGCCGATGCTGACTCACAGCGACCCTATGGGGCAAAGTAGAACTGCCCCTTTGAGCTTCTGAGACTGTAACTGTGTGTGAGAGTAGAAAGCCTCATCTTTCTCCCCAGGAGCACCTGGTGGTTTCCAACTGCCCACCTTGAGGATCACAGGCCAACTCGTAACCAGTTCGTCACCAGGGTGGAGTAGGACCCGCTAATTATTGAGATCCTTGATAAAGCAGCCCCAGGTTTTCCCTGGACCAGAGAGAACAAGGATATGGAGGATGAAAAGTAGGGGTCCTACACTCAGGGAAGATGTAGATGCTACTGACGCCTGAGCCAAGGCTAAGGCAGACCGAGGCCACAAAGGAAGGAAGGCGTCCACTCTGGGTTTGTCTGTGTCATCAAAACCCAGTTAGCAGGAAAACCCAGGCCAGGCAGGAAAAATAAGGCCAATCCCTTAGTTCACCCCCCTGCTATTCACTCCCTTTGGGCATAAGAATGTAGCGCAGCAGTTCTCAACCAGTGGGTCGCGATTCCTTTGGGAAT